CCAAACGCAACTAGACCGCACGAGTCTACTTTACAGTAGTGGCAGTAGCACAAAGATCTATGGTGGCTCAGGGGGCAGAGGGGAGGGAAGAAACCTGCTAGCGAAGCAGACAGCAGAACACGAAATGCGAGCAGCAGTTGAAATTGTGGAAATTGTGGCCCAATGTCTGGCTGGCTCTGTCTATACGAAAAAGTATTAAGAGTAGTAAAAAATGCGTTGAGCTCCGTGAGTTGGTGCGGGAGTCTTGTCTGGGGGCGGAGGACGGAAGGTGGAGGGCAGTGGCGGCAGCTTTGGAAGCAACTGGCATTGCTAGTTGCTGCTGCCACCGCTTGTATAAAGTGTGGCAAAATGAAAAGGGCTACGAGTATGGTCGCAAAAAGAGGCTGGCTGGCAATGGCGACGATGGCGACGCATCGATAAATGTAAATGCAGTCAAGGGGGGGGGGAGCTACAGCAGAGAGGGTGATTTCGTGTGCGATGAGGAGTAGGTGGATAGTTGGGGGGAGAGAGATGGTATAGTCTAGGGATAGTGGGCCACGTTATAGTTGTAGAACAGCAATGAGGTGCGAGATGCGAGCGAACGCAAAACATTTTTATTACCACAACGGAGTCGTAAAAAACTAAATTACTTTTAAGTTTTGTAAATTGTGCGAGTTGCTTTAACGTTCTAAGCGAGCTTACCATATAGACATATTTACTTATGTATATATGCCCGTGTCTGTGCGTATAGTATGTGTGTGTGTGTGTGTGTGCGTGTAGCATAAGGTTTCATATTATGCCTCTACCGCAAGTTTGCATTCTTTATGTCACGTCTCCTCAACAGTGGGATGAGTAGCGGGCCCCACACACTCACACACACACACACACACACACACACAACCTTCTGAGCCCGGCCAAAAATACAAATTTCCGAAACGGCATTTATACATAATGAGCCGAGCCGAACAACAGACTGACACACTGGCTCCGTGAGTGTTGGCGGTTGTCTCGTTTATGACCAAAGACGACCACGAAAGGCACACAATTGGCCAAAAGCGATTGTGAGGCCAGCTTGGCTGACGCTCTTGTAAAACGAATGTGCATGTGAAGTGGCATCTGAGCGTATTTATGTACGACTATACTTGTATAAGATCTGTCAATCATAGTTAGTGGCGTAAGTCAGTCAAGTGCTTTATAAGCAATACTCGTATATACAAAAAAATAGGTCCGCAAATGTATGCTACCAAGTGGGCAAATTTTTTGAGACATTTTAAAAACAGTAGTACAGGAGGGAACTAGAGCTACTTCTTAGTATAAAGTATAATTAAATTTAACTGATGGTGAAGCACGTGAGTGACTAGCCTTGCAAAATGAATCCTACAGTACCATTTTACAAAAGGATTAAATACATTTTTAAACATTTTTTAAATGAATTCAGATTTTTTTTAATGAAATCTGTTTGGTAAACGAGAGATTTTAAATATTTCAATTGATATTTCAGTGCTTTAATTTTGTGGCATTATTGGGAATGACCAAGCTCTCTGACCTTTTGCTTGTTGTTGCTAGACTTTCGAAAAGGAACATTTTTTTTTGTTACGCCAAAGCCTCATGCTTTTTATTTTCCTATTTTCAATAGGAATGGCACGCCTTCTTCTGAGCATATGTTGGTATAATGAAAAAATGATTAACTTAGACTGAAGATATTTGATTGATTTCTTCAAAACTCAAAGTGTTTTTTCTTATTAAACTCAACTGCTTTAAATTTGAGAACCACCTAAAATACTATAAACAAATAAATTTATTTATATTTATAAATAAATGCTATTTGCTTGTAGACGCTTTTAGAATGTTTCTTTAGTTAATTATTATGATAGTTTTCTGTGATGGAAGTGATTGAAGATGAAGATGTGTTTTATTCATATATTAGTATTCCATTCTTTTCTCAGCTGAAACCGCTTGCCACATGTCGGGGTTTGGATCTAATTTAATTTAGCTGTTGTCTAAGCATTGTTAGTCTATTGTTAACAACTCAAGCTCTAAGACTGATGATTCACTCAACTAAAGAAGTTGATAGAAATTAATAAGAACCACTCAATAAGGCGAATATGGGTATCAATAAAAAGGGAATACAAATTATTTGAATAAATACGTGAATGGTAATGAGCTATGTAGTATTTTTGAATTTGAAATGAAAGCAATCGAACCGTTTGTGATTACTTGGGGTCTCTCCATTTTGAGAATTCAGTTGCTTCAACATTCATTTCACTTGTTTTCCATCATCCGATGAACTGAACTCATGCATGTAAATGTTGTGAATTAATATCAGCGGAAGCTCTTTCATTTCGCCAAAGCCCACACCAAGAACGTGGCAGAGCAGGCAAATAAGTATAGTAGCTTACAGCATTATTAAGGTGTTCAAAGAGCTTCAGCTCGGAGTAGGCGTGGCAGTGTCGACTTGTTCGACCTTATTCAGACCGTGTGCGCCCATTTTTGGGCCCTTTTGTCAAAGCTGGAGAGCGCATACATACGAGCACATACAAGTACACGTACACACATACTCGTATAACAACAGCCCATATAAATGCACTCACTGCCCGCACCAACTCTAGTAATGTCCCTTCGTGCCTGCCTCCCTCCGTGCACCACCCCATGACCCAAGCTATTTTGTTGTATACATTTTGCATTAATTAAAAACAAAATAAACAGTAAGAGGCGCGCGCGCGTAAAACTGCTGGGCAAGAAAATGAAACTGAAAGGCAAACACATTCTGATTTAAATGTGATTGTTTTTATTCTTTTTAGTATTTCGCGTAAAAAGCGCAGGCAACAAGCAGAAAACAAAAACAAAAACAGAAATAAAAACAAGAGAAGCAACAGCAACAACAACAACCACAACGGCGGTTGCCGCAAAACAAAAACAAAAACAGAAACAGCGACGCCGTCGGCGCTGTCACCAAATACAGTCGCCAGCCAAATGACACCCAACGCTAGCGCCAAAGCCAACGCCAACGCCGGCGTTGAGGCAGCCTGCAAGCCAGCCCCATGTTCTCTCCAGCGCTCTCGGTCTAGTGTGCAAGTTTGTGTGTGTGCGAGTATGTGGGTGTGTGTGTGTGTGTGTGTGTTGTGTATGCTGGAAGCTTTGCTTGTGGCTGCGATTGCGGCCCGTTGGCGTCGCTTCTTTTGTCGCTGCTGCTGATTAGATTTAGTCTGTCTGTATGAACGCCTCAATCTCGGCGACTACGAGAGGCAACAACACCAAACTTTGCATGAAGATACTCAATATTTATTTTTAATTATTTTATTTTTAATTATTGCTATGTCGAGTACGTCTTGCAAAAGTAGGCCCTTTTTGTGGAATGCCCCACCATTTTCGAATTTCTCTTCAACATTTGAGCACACATTTCTTTTTATTACAACTTCGTAACTTACCTTGGTATTAATGGGTTTTATGTAATGCCTCGTCAACATCAATATATTAAAGATTTGCAATAAAGTTGCAGAAGTAAGGCTGTGTATAGGGTATAAAAGGTTCGTTCTCGCGGCCCATTTTTACACTGCTTTAATTAATTTGTGTTCGAAATTTCAATAATTTGTGCACGTCTTTTGTCTGCTTTCGTAATACGAAGCTATCTCATAATATTATCACGTCAGCGCATTTTTCCTGCATTATTCTTGTGAAGTGTTAATCGAATCGGCTTTTATATAAATATCTGTGTACCCTCCTCCCACCAACCAGCAGCTGAACAACTGAACAAAATAAACAAAGTGGAATCAAAGTAACGTGACGTGAAAAACGTGACCAAAAAAAAAGAACCCAAAATACTTGAAAATATCGCGGGAAATGCGCTCACAAAGCAAACGCAGCATAAAAATGCAAACTAGCGCCGCTTTGCACCAAATTTCAGCGTTTTACAACACTAGGCGGCAGCGTGTCTACCACTAACTCGCAAAGTGCCGTGCCTACCAAAATACAAATACCAAAATCAAAAAAAAAAACTTTCCAATTGTCATTTGCTGAACTTGCCACCAAATTTCAATCAACCCAGGAAATAATCGTCCTAAATGCCTACCCATCTATAAATAATTGAAAATTCCAGCAACTCTCGTACAAAACGGTTCAATTATTTTGCTATAGAGTTGCCAAAGCCAGCAAAAAGCACTATTAATGAATATTTGGGTAAGATTGTGCATTACTGGTATATTTCTCGTTTCAGCTTTACGTTTAAAACTCCAAGCTGCAAATTATTTCAATAGTTATATTTATCAATAAATACTAAGCAATTCAACTTTGTATTTTATTATAGTTATGTATTGGTTTCTTATTTATATTAAATTATTTCTCTTTCTTTCAAAAAGGCCAAAATAGCTTCCTAAATTTAGTAAAAGCTTAAGTTCTGTGAGCAAAAGCTATGACTTAAAAATAAATGATTAAATTGAGAAGTTTCTTTTTTTGAACTATAATTATTCTAATTATTATTTGAAATTATTGTGGGAAACAATAGTTTTGGCTTAGATTTTCCTATTTTAAGATAACGATTTTATAATTAAAATACAGTTGAACCTTGATTATCAGTGATGCTTAGGACAGAGCTTTGATGATTTCGGATAACATATAGAATTTTGTAAAAACTTTTGAGCAGAACATATATACAATTCCTATATTGCTTGAGACAATGTGGCCATTTCATCCGTCCGATTCCCCGGAATTTGGGCCAAACTCATGGTCTTGGGTTTGGTAAATATTGCTTGCTATTTCCAGATTCAGATCTCCACTCTATCCACTTTGAGATAGATTATGAGTTTCTTAAAACCTTCAGGATAACAGCATAGCTTTTCCCGGTTAATAGAGGTTCAAGGTGCAACACTAGATTATTTTCAAATGTGAATTATATTATATCAGGATCTCAAGAATTTTGTTTCAACTGGTAATTGTTCTTTTCTTATATACATATTTTGATTTGTATATTTCGATCTATTGGAACAATTTGTATTAATTTGCTCTCCTCTCTCTTTAAATTGCAGCAACAAAAATTCCTGAAACGACCAGCGGAGGATGTTGACAATGGAGCTGAGAATTACGAACCGCCGCATAAATTGCCCAATAACAACAATAATAATAACAATAACAATAGCACAAATGGTGGTGGCGGCTCTGAGAATCTAACAAAATTCTCTGTAGAGATTGTGCAGCAGCTGGAGTTCACAACATCGGCGGCCAATTCACAGCCGCAGCAAATAAGCACAAATGTCACTGTGAAGGCGCTGACGAACACCTCTGTGAAAAGCGAACCGGGCGTGGGCGGAGGGGGTGGTGGCGCTGAGCAACAGCAGCAACAGCAGCAGCAGCAGCAACAACAACAACAACAACAGCAACAACAAGGCGGCGGTCTGGGTGGCCTTGGCAATCAACATGGTCGTGGTGGGGGCGGCGGAGGCGGCGTTGGCGGTATGGGAGGCATGCATACGGGCCCCGGCGGCTTAGGTCAGAATATGATGGGCGGCCACGGCGGCAATAACAACAGCTCGAATGTAGCCGCCCAGCAAAAGTCAGCATTGGGAGGTCTCGCCAATTTGGTGGAGTGTAAACGGGAACCGGATCATGATTTTCCGGATTTGGATGCACTGGACAAGGATGGACCGAGCTTTCGTGATCTGCTTGGCGATGATAATTCCGAGGGTAACGAAACCTTTAAGGATCTTATCAGCAACCTGCAGGATTTCAATCCCAGTTTTCTGGATGGGTTCGATGCGAAACCGCTGCTGGACATCAAAACAGAGGACGGCATCAAAGTGGAGCCCAATGCCCAAGATATAATCAATAGTCTAAATGTGAAATCAGAGGGCGGACTGGGTCATGGCTTTCCAGGTTTTGGCGCCGGTCCAAATATGGGCATGGGCATGCCCGGCGCTGGTGGCCCCCACAATACCATGGATGCGCAGACCATGAACAAAATGCGCAATGCTGGCTTCCAAAATGGACCCAATGGCGGCGGACCCAATGGACCCGGCGGCGCACAACAGGGCGCCGGTGGTGGTGGTGGTGGGGGCCTCATGTCCGAGCATCCTCTGGCCGCTCAAACACTCAAGCAAATGGCCGAGCAACATCAGCATAAGAATGCCATGAGTGGCATGAATTTCCCCCGCCCTCCGCATGGAATGCAACAACAGCAACCGCCTCACAGTCAAATGATGGGCGGCCAGCAGCAGCCGGGTCGGTACAATGACTACGGAGGGTTTGGCAATGACTTCGGCATGGGCGGTCCAAATGGACCCAATCCGCAACAGCAGCAGCAACAACAACAGCAGCAGCATATGCCGCATCAGTTTCATCCAAAAGGTCCGGGCGGCCCGGGAGGCGGCATGGGTGTGCAGCAAAGTTTCCTGGATATCAAGCAAGAGCTTTTCTATTCCTCACAAAACGACTTCGATCTCAAGCGTCTGCAGCAGCAACAGCAGGCCGCGGCAGCTGCGCAAATGCAACAGCAGCAGCAACAACAACACCATGGTCATGGGCCCCCCAATCCACAACAGCAACAACAACAACCTCAACAGCAACATCCTAATGGTCCCAAAATGGGCGTACCTATGGGTCCGCCCGGCCAGTTTAAGCACGTTGGTGGTCCGGGTGGCCAACAGGTTCCGCCACAGCAGCAACAACAACAACAACAGCCTCAAAACCCGCAACAACAGCAACTGCAGCAGCAACAACAGCAATACTCGCCATTCAACAACTCGCCTATGGGACCCGGTCCTGGTGGCAACTCGCAAAACCAAAATCCCAACTTTCTCAACTGTCCGCCACGTATCCCCAACAATGGGGGACTCGGTGTTGGTCCCGGCAATGTGCCGCCCAATATGGGCGTGCCACAGAGCGCGCAACAACAACAGCAACCTGCTGGCCCACAACAGCAGCGAGGTGGTCCCACCGGCGGTCCGCAGTCCAACCAAAATACCGGAGCTGGCGCCAATACACAGAATGCCACACAGGCGGGCGGTAATCCCAACATGCAGCAACAGCAGGCGACGACAACGACGTTGCAGATGAAGCAGACGCAACAGCTCCATATTAGCCAGCAAGGCGGTGCACATGGCATTCAGGTGAGTTTTCGCTGCCTCTTACTCAAGTCAAAAATTTCCAGATATGTACACCCAAGCCACAGGCTTTCAAAAAAAAAAGGGGAAAATAAATTCTTTTTCAGATACGGAGGTTCATCTAATCTCCTAGATTTGATTTCTTTTTTCCATTGTTACTGTTTTGAAAAATATTTCATTAAATTTTAAGAAAACTGAATAGTCAGTAATATTTGACCCAAAACTATATGTGAAGCATTGCTTGGCTAAACTTCGTAATTCTTTCCCAAAAGTCTTTGTACAAAATAACGTAAGGTCTGCGAAATAAGTCACCTTATCATGCTTATAACGTAATGCCACAGATTTACCATTTATGTTTTCCATTTCATTTTTTGCATAGTTTGCTTTCATCTAATTCTCTTGCTTAAAACAGTAAGGAGAAGCAGAAATCCGTTGTTACTACCGTTATTTCTATCGAAAATTGCTGCTGCCTCTCTTTACACAACGAAATAATTGAGCTGATCAAATCAGTTTTTGTCATTGTACCAGTGCATTCAAGGGCCATTTTCATCAAAATTTTGGGATTTATAATTTAAAATATTAAATAAGTGAGTTTTGACTTTAATCCAGGCTTAGAATATTAGATCAGATTATAATTAACCATAATTTTAGTAGAAAAGCATCAAGGCCGTTACCTATCTGATAAAGAAAGAGCTAAAATATTAGCATATCGAGAAACTGGAATGCCCTTACGTGAAATTGCTTCCAAAATACAAAGGAGCTTTTTTGAAAGATCCCGAACACCACGGAAAAAAGCCACGCTCCGGTCGCCCGCCATTGGTACAAAACCGCATAAGAGGAGAATAAAATCGTTAGCACTCAAATAAAACCTGAGCGCAGGCGAAATTTGTCAGGAACTGGATCTCTCAGTGTCAAAACGTCGCGTGCAACAAATTTTACGAGCCGATCAATTCATTTCATATGAAAAAAAAACCGTCAAATGTGAACTACTTCCTCGGCACAAAGTTGCCCGCATGCACTTTGCAGAGATGCAAAGTTTTGGGACCTATAGTGAAAAAAAATTATTTTCAATGATGAAAAAAAATTTAATTTAGATGGACCAGATGGGTATCAATATTATTATCGTGACCTCAGGACCCCCAAACAAATGAAAGTGTCGCGCAATTTTCAAGGAGGATCGCTAATGGTGTGGGCTGCATTTTGCTTTGCTGGAAAGAGTCCTATATGCTTTGTCTCACATAAAATGAACTCCGAAAACTATGTAGAGCTATTGGACGAAAACCTGATTCATTTTGGAGAAGAAATGTGTGGAGATTATTGGACATTCCAGCAGGACAATGCTCCAATCCATGTCTCAAAACGCACAAAACAATTTTTGAGGATAAAAAAATACCACTTTTGATGTGGCCTGCAAAAAGTCCAGATCTTAATCCCATAGAGAACCTTTGGGGAATCCTTTCCAGTAAGGTTTACATGCATGGCAGACAATTTAGATCCTTGAAAGAATTAAAAGAAGCAATCGTAACAGAGTGGGCCAAATTGGACGGATCACTTCTTCAAAACTTGGTTAGTTCAATGCCAGATCGCATGTTAAGAGTAATTAATAGTAATGGAAGACATATCTAAACAATTACCGCTAAAAACACAAGTAAATCGAGATATAAATATAGTTTTTTGAATTTGATCAGTTCAATTATTTCGTTCGGAAAAATTTTCATTTAATTTTTAAAAAAGTTTCCTTTAATTTCTTAAATATTACTAAACTGAATTTAAACTGTCATTTTATAAAGTTTAAGGAAAAATTACAATCATTTTAAAATATCGAAGATTTTTGTTTTAATTAAGAAAAATATGTTGATAAGGTGACTTATTTCGCAGGCCTTATAAATATTTCTTCTTCACTTTATTTAAAGAATTTCAGAATTCAAAACATATAAAACTACCCGAGTTTCTTTTTATTGTGCATGAGAATAATTTCTTATTCACGAACTAATACAAGTCGGTAAAACATATACCTCTTTTACCGCTGCTTACGAAGCAGACAATCAAGTTACGCCATAAATGGTACTCCCCGTGTACACCACTAGTCCGGAATGTCTCTCTTTAGTATCCCCTTGCTGCCCTTTTGATGGCGCTTATCCAATAACATAACGCTACTTAATACCATTGACACGTATGTAAATTTCCATGCATATTTAAGTTATCAGCGTAACGAAGTCAACAGCTTTGACAAAAATCCAGCAAAGGCAAGCCAAACTCTCGCTCTCTGCTCCCTCTATCGCTCAATGCTCATAACCTGTCGTCCTTTGACATGCAAAACTTTCACACAAGACAGCCGTCAGCATTTGGAGAGCCAGACTGTAGCCCTTTTTACTTAACAGAGAGAGAGAGAGAGAGAGTGCGAGTGCTGCACGCATGGCTACTCAACTGCTCAAAAAGAGGGGCCACTCAAAGCTCATTTTACATTCGCTGTGAACACATTTCGGACTGTTATGTGTGTCTCCATGCCATGCCTTTGGCTCATAAATCATGCGTGTCCAAACCCCACACCCCCCACCCACCACCCACCAGACGCCTGCCGCCTGCCCAATCCTTAACAGCAGGCGACCGAGTGAGTGAGTGTCGGGCTGCAACTGTTCACAATATATTCACTCTCTCGCTCTCATTTTCGCACAGCCATTACCACTCATCCCTTCGCCGTTCGTTTAACCCTCCTTAGCCTCTCCATTGGCATGCCCGAATCCCGCCCCCCCCCCCCCCTGTCCTGATTCCCTGCCAACTTTATCTCTGTCCATTAATTTTACCACACATCTGTTCATAAAATTGTCCTGCGACTTGGCGTTCGGGGTTAGTTCGTCGGCCACGCTGCTCGTGCGCGCTCCTCGCCATGAGGCCATGTGCTTCTTGGCACCGACTATGAAGCAAGCATCACAAGCACGAGCTCCAGCTCCAGTGTGCGCCATTTTCATTACGTGCCCATCAAAAGCTCGAGCCGAGCAACTAGAAAGATGGAAAAAAATTAATAGTTGTTTCTGTTCATGCCCTTCTTTTTTTTATTTCTTCTTGTAGCTTTTTTAGTAATTGGCTTGCTGTCTAGATACGGAATCGTTTTGCTTAATGCAAGACGATGATGTATGTAGTTTTAAGTGCTTTTCCACCCACCTCACCAGCTCTGGGATTGGGCATTTAGCAGAAAAAATGCGTAGGTTTCCAACTCTTTTTATTATGAATGTATAATTCATAAATACATTAATTGTTATAAAACCTTGAAATTCAAAGTAGGCTGCATTTAATAATTTTTATGAAGATTATCAGGTCTGATACATACCTACTTATTAGCTTATAGGTATGTTCATTTGATTTTAAAAGTACATATGTTACGAATCAAAACCAATAGGGATTCATATAATATTGTTTTCTGCAGCAACAGAATGTGTGTGGTATGCTAAAACTATTTACATATCTGATCATAAATTTATTCGTGAATTAATTTTAGTTTTAGTCGCTAGCCCATTATCGCATTCGAATAAAAAGTAGTAATACAAGTACATGCTAATGAGTGCATTCAATGCGCTCTATTCGAATTATTCATTAGCCATCGCAGCTTTTTGCATTACATACCTTTTGGATTGCTCCAAATTTAAGTGCCCGAGGTCCTCACTCCGCAACGAATTTGTAATTATTCAAAATCATAATTTCCACACTCCCCCTCTCTGAAGGGGAACTCATTGGAGATATTCAGCGTTAAGTTCAGCCCAGTGGTATGCATTCACCTACAACCACACATAGTCGCATACCCTAACCCATATTCATTATCCGCTCCAAATTGTTTTCCTGTTATTTCGCAACCAAAAGCAACTACAACAACCACAGGAGCAGCAAAAGCAAAAGCAACAGCAACAGCAATGGTAGCTCTGTACCTACAACAACTACAACATTTCATTTACAAAATGAAAGTGCAAAACTTTTTAAGTTAAGTTTCATGTCGTTGAGTAGTTTTCATCAAAAACAGCCAAAAACGAGAGCTAGCAGACCAGGAGCAGGACGAACGAAAGTACAACTCGTTTGGCTATTACTCTTATTGTTGTTGTTGCTGCTGTTGCTGATGCTGTTGCCCGGCATGCCTTTGCAAAAGGACACGTCTGAAATTTCCGTTTTTTTTTTTCCTGCTGTAGTTTGCCAAGCGAGCGAGGCGACGCGACGCGACGGACACTTGGAGCAAAGGACCTCGAGTCCCAGCTCAAGTTTTGCCATGAATTTTTGGGGGCATGCATTACGAGTGCTTTTTGCTTAGCTGGACCAACTTGCCAGCATCTACCCCACACTTGCATGCATATCAAAATAGTTGTGCAAAGCCAAAAAGTGGGTAGCAGATTGGAAAAACTTGTTGACGATTGAGATTGAAATTTGGTTCGTGGCCCCCACGAGTCCTGCGACTTTTTAATGCTTGCAAACCAAGCCCCCAAACTAGTGTTTATTATTCAAATCAATGCATTGACTACCAGTAAGCCAGTAAAAACAACAAAAGCAACAACAACAACAAGGGAAACACTTGCTGCCCATTCAAAACTCATTTTACACACAAACAAACACGCACACACGCACGCACAAATAATAGGGACATCTGCTTATCTATGCTCGTTGCGGGCCAGTAAAACAAAAGGCTTTAAAATCACGTATGCACTCAAACACACACTTAAGGCTTTAGGGAACATTATATTTGCGTAGGATTCATTACCAAAAACACACACACACACACACACGCTCATACACACTACTAACGAACCCTTCTGGAACAGAAACAAACCAAATGAAAACCAATACAACAACAAGAGGACAAACGCTCCACGTATTTTATAAAAAACACTTGTGTGCAAAAAATGAACACGCAGCGTGTAAAATGTACAACAAATATAACAACCAACGAGCAACAACAACAACAGCAACAACACGAGCAACAGCAGCAAGAAGAAGTCAAGCAGGGGCAGCGCTCGAAACGAAATGAA